CATTGGTTTATTATTAGACTTTATTATTAATAATTTTATTAATGACTTCCCTTTCCTTCACAAGACCTAAATTTGATTATAATTTACTTTTCCTCTAAATAAAAGTTTTAAATAGCATTAAAATAATTTATTCTATTGAATATAGTTTGCACTAAACTAGTACTCAACTAATTTGTATTTTAAATTAATAACAAATTGCTCCCATTATCATTATTTGGTTTGATGTTGACTAAATTGCTATTTAAAACTTGTTGGAATATCTAAATTTCGGACTGCATTTAATTATAGTGTACTATTTATCAGCATTATCATGATTAGCCTTAAAATAGTTACCTGCCGTTGATAAACAATTTAATTATATTTTGATACAATAAATTATTGTCAATAATGATTAGTATTGACATTTACAAATAACATTACTTCAACATTTAAAAACATTTAAGAAATATAAATATAAAATAGTATTTCAATTAAAACCTATTTATTCATTAATACAGTTAAACCAAAATATCGCTCAAAAAACATATTTTTATCATTATATTTATTTAAATAAATATTTTTCATAGACAACAGTATATGAAAATTGTGAGCAAATAGTGAGGGCAGAGACGGTTATGTCGATTAGACCAATATTAATCACTATATAAATTAGTATTAATGCTATTTATGTAACATATTTTGTAATATATTATATAATTGTAGTCAATTATTATCATATGCGGCAACAATTTAGCCTATTTTTAATACAGTATACAGGAATTGAATGTCATTGTACTTAAATAAACAAGCCTTGAAGATGTTCAGGGACGTTTTAATTTACATTATGTCTGCTAATATAATTTTCATTTACATCCATTATTTGGTTATCTACTCTAATTTGAATATACAGTATATTCAACAAAACTGATGTATTCTTTCAAATAATTTATTTGTCAAATATCTATAGAAATGATTTTTGAAATAATTTTAAACTGAAAATTCTTTCAAACAATTGTTAAAAGCAAATGTCAATTGAGTTATAAATTGAGTTCATTATGAGTACAATTTATAACAGTTAGTAAGTATTTTTATCAGCAGATTATGGTTCAAATAATAGTCTTATTATAATTTATAAATGAAAACTTTAAGCACTTTCATAAAAACGCTAAAATTACAAATATTTCCAGTCAATATACATTTGAAAAGTTAGCTGTCCTTGATTATTTCTGGCGAGAGACCAGTCTTGTTTCACCATATGCCATAATAAACCCCAAAATGAGCAAGATTTCCACAATAATCACATCAATTACTAAATAATTATTTTTTTGCCAAAATTAACCATGTCCATATAAAAAATTATAATAATAAAATTGTCCCAACTTTTGTCACATAAGTATGTTTTGACAGTTCTGTCAAATGTTTTACAAAAAACTCACTAAATAAATGTCAGATTAACAGTAAATACATATTTTGTCCTTATGAATTTACAATACAATATTACTACTGTACAGTACTACCTAGGTTATTTTAATGTCAGTATTCCTTACGATACCACTGATACGATATCACTATCATATCAGTAATATCTATGCAGTTCATTGTAGGGGAATGTTGTACACTGTATGGGCACAAACATAGCCGCCCCTAAACTGTGCGATAACTAGATTTACCATTATGATAATTGATGCACACAATGTACAGCATTTGTCCTTCACTGTGTATTTAAGGGAACAGTTGGCTATACAATCGCTGCACTCGTATCCCAAGTACTGCTACAAAGAGTATCTGTCACTTGTGTTTTCGCACTTGTTTTTCGCGATATTTTTCATTGCAAAATATTTGTGTTGGAAATTAATTGTGTGTTTGCTTGAAAGTTAATTTGTTCATGATAATAAATTTAGTTTAATACAAAACTACACAATTTATAACAATGGGAGTGATTAAGAATCCGGAAATCAAATATACCCAGGTATTTGTCGTATAGATTGAAAGCATGATTATACCATAATTGTTTAGCAAATATTAAATATACTTTCTTTGTTTGAATGTACTTCATATTGGATAAAATCATTATTGATTTTACCTGTAATTTGAATCTATTTTAATTAATAGCTATTTATATAAAGTTAAAATATTCAGCATCATTTACCTAAAATATACAATACTTTACATGTATGTTGAAGTGAATGTCAAATTAATTAAATAGCTATTCGGATAATTATATTAACAAAACCCACATTTTTGCAGACAATTACATAAAAAATAACAAAAAATAAGTATTTTCTTTCATTAAATCAAATAACTAGACAATAAAACTTGAGATAACCTTCACTTACAATAAACACTATGAATAGTCTATTTATTACATAATAACTTTACAGCTCTTCATAAACAACGAGTTCGTAAACTCCGTGAGCGGTAAGACCTTCGAGACCTTCAACCCTACGAACGGCAAAGCGATCACAAGTGTTCAGGAGGGGGACAAAGCCGACATCGATAAGGCTGTGGCCGCCGCCCGCCATGCCTTCCGACGGGTAAGCCATTAACACACGTATAACATATACTTTACTGACCCACTCCTGCCCTCCCATCCCTTTCCACCGCCAGAACTCTGAGTGGCGATCGATCGACGCCTCCCAAAGGGGTCGACTACTGTTCAAACTGGCGGACCTACTCGAGCGCGACATCGACTACTTGGGCAGTTTGGAGACACTGGACAACGGCAAGCCATTTGCCGACGCCCTGTGGGATATGAACGCCGCCATCGCATCCCTGCGCTATTACGCCGGTTGGGCCGACAAAGTTCACGGCAAAGTGATTCCCGCCGACGGACCCCTCTTCGCCTTCACTCGCGCCGAACCCGTCGGCGTTTGCGGACAAATCATTCCCGTAATTATTATAGCCGTTAATTTTTATTAATAATGTGAGACTTATTTATTTAACTAGTTTTTTGTTTACTTCCCATTTTGTAGTGGAATTTCCCTCTGTTTATGATGTCGTGGAAGATCGGACCCGCGTTGGCCACCGGTAACACTGTTGTGGTTAAACCGGCCGAACAGGTATGACCACGATTGTAAATAGCCCATGATCATTATAACTAATGATTACGGTCTCCTCCTCTCAGACCCCGTTGTCTGCCCTGTATTTGGCGAGTTTGGTAAAAGAGGCCGGATTTCCGGCGGGTGTTGTGAATGTGGTGACCGGTTACGGACCGACAGCAGGTGCCGCCCTATCCGAGCACAAGGATGTGGACAAAGTGGCGTTCACGGGCTCGACGGAAGTGGGCAAGATCATTCAGGCGGCTGCGGGCAGATCCAATTGCAAACGAGTGACACTAGAAATGGGTGGCAAATCACCCTTGGTCATTTTTGACGATGCCGATCTCGAGGCCGCCGTACAAACAGCGGTAAGTCTCGACTATTAGTCTCTCTAAAGTTAGGCATTGAATTTTGGGGTAATTTACTCATCAATGCTTTACATTAAAATCATGCGATTTAGTAACACATGTGTCGATTATCTAGATCTAGATGTACATCACTGATTAAAAACACATTAAGGGGGGAAAAATCTTTGGTGGAAATGGCCAACCCTATTGATATTAGTATGAAAATGTGCAGAATTGTTGCCAGATGTTTAACAAATTGTCAAAATTGGCGAATGGCCAGAGACGTTGGCGTACTGGTCAATTTTCAAATCACGCGTCTATTGCTTATAGCATTGAAAAAAGGTGATTCACATAATGAATGGACCATTCAGAATGGTTGATCACATGAATGTAATGCTATACGCAATAGACCCGTGATTTGAAAATTGACCAGTACGCCA